CTTAGGGTCCTGGCCAAGAGGGGACTCAGCTTCTGATGCTCCAAAGAGCTGGGGGAGGAGGAGACTTCTGCTGTGCCCCTCCCCCAGCCCACCACCAGGCCCATGGCTGGTAGCTTCTTGAGCTAGCTTCTAGAGCCCAGTGATCTGGCAATCTGGGACCTAGGTGGCCAGATGGACACAGCAGGAGGTAAGGGGAATCTGGTCCTTTCCTTGCCCCAGTACTATCATGAGGAAGAAATCACCATGAACTTGCTTCAAGGCACTGGCTCCCAGGCCCGTTGGGGAGGTGACTTCCAGCAATGATGTCCCCCAGATGGCCAGAGTACACTGGGTGCAGAAGACTCTGGGGAGGTCTGGGCATGGCCTTACTGCACGCATCAGGCATATGGAAGCGAAGAGCATGCATGCTGCCCCTTAGGCTGCTCGAGGTCCCAGGGACGCAAGGGTGGAATGAAGTGGACAGGGGCTGCTGCACAGGGAGGCACCAGGTGCCTAGGGTTGAGGACTCCCCCCACCCCCAAAGACAGTGAGGATGACCAAGGGGCTGGAGGTAGGAAGCAGGCAGGGCTTGTCACCCCCATGTCTTAGGCATTCCAAGTGCCTCTCGTTGCTCTTAGAGTGGGGGTCAGCCTTAGTGTGTTCCTGCACATTAAGGTTGCGTGTATGCAGATACGTTGGTATGTCCAAGCAATGCAGCTTTCCATGTCCTGTCATTTCAGCTGATTTGAACACCTACACAGAGGGAACATTTCTGTTATCCCAGAAGGTTGTGCTGCCCAGGGGCCGGTGTCATGGCCACTCCTCTCTCTTGCTGACCACTGGGTCTTGAGGCCATGCCAGGTTCTCAGCTGCCTTACTCTCCCCGTGCTCTCTCTCTGGAACCCCTTTCCCCTCTTGTAGATGGGCAGCTACCTGGCTCACACCTGCTCTCAGCCTGACTCTCACCCCCTGACCACTGCAAGCGTTTGTCACTCTCCACACGCCTTCCTTGTTTCCTTCATACATGGCTATCACATGTGATAATCTCCCTGGCTCTTTGTGAGTTTACTCTCTGTCCAGTCCATTTGAACAGTGAGATCCTTTGTCCATCATTGGGTTCCCAAGGGCCAGCATAATGTCCACCCACTTGGACGGCCGATGAACTGTGAGGGTACATGCAGAGGGAACAGATATTGTTCAGAGGCAGCAGTAGACATCACATGGCATAAGGGCAGGCAGAGGACGGAGATAAGGAAGGAGAAACGCTGAGGCTGGTGAGGGAGTGGGAAGACCAGGTTTAGGCCAAGAAGGAAGGATGCTACATGAGGCCGAAGGACCTGAGCCAGGAAAGGCTAGGCAACAGGGAGCTGGCCCAGGAGTGCAGGGAGCTGGAACAGAGGTCATTCACTGAGGGACTGGGCAGAGAGAGATCCAGAGCAGAGCAGAGCCGGTACCCTCTCCCAACACCTGCCTCAGTTTGGGGTCCTGATGAGTGTGTCCTCTCACCTAGGGGCAGGGCACTGAGTGAGGAGAGGAATCATTTCTTGGCCCTAAGGACACAGAGCAGTGCCCCAACTGGGCAGAACAGAGCTGATGAGGAGAAGGTCTGACAGTATGGGGGATTAAGTTGGTGCTGGGGACATGCTCATCCCATATGGAATGTGCTGGTTCCATCTGCTGCTATGCATCCTGGGAAGTAGAAAAAGATGGCTTGAATGAATGCTGGGGCTCCTGACACCCACATGGGGAATGCAGATGGAGTTTCTGGCTCCTGCTTTCAGTCTGGCCTAGCCCTGGCTATTGTGGGTAATTGAGGAGTGAACCAGGAGATGGAAAATTTTTCTTTCTGTGTCTATCTCTCTCTCATAGAGAAAAACTGATTTTTTTTTTGTAGAGGTTATGGAAAAAGCTTTGGTCTGCTGGCTCAACACCACACACTTGATCCTTAAACCAAGCCCCCACCTGAATACACTTCCCTCACTTGGATCATGGCATGGTACTCTGCAGTGTCCTTCCTCCTCCTAGGTCAGAAGTCAGTCCTTGGGTCCTGCACGATGTTTCAATTGGCTAATCTTGTTGCAAGCATTGGAATCCCATATAAGTGCTAGTTCTAGTCCTGGCTGCTCCACTTCCCATCCAGCTCCTTGCTTGTGGCCTGGGAAAGCAGCAAAGGATGGCCCAAAGCCTTGGGACCCTGCACCTGCATGGGAGACCCAGAAGAAGCTCCTGACTCAATTCTGGTCATTGCAGGCACTTGTGGAGTAAAGCAGCAGATAGAAGATCTTTCTCTTTTTTTTGTCTCTCCTCTCTGCAAATTTGCCTTTCAAGTAAAAATAAACAATTCTTAAAAAAAAAATAAAAGTAGCCAGCCCTTAGGCTTAAATCAGACTTTCTCCCCGCCAATTCACATCCAACAGTCATCACTCTCTTAGGGCAGCTCAGGGTGGGGTGTGCAGGGGAAGTCTGTGACAAGTACCTCTGTGGGTGGCACCCGCACCCTCCCCACTGCTCTAGATTCCCCTCCCCCTCCGTGTAGGGAGTAGGGGGAAACAAAGGCCATGTCACCCAGAGGACCCAATTCAAGATCCTCCTGCTGTGCAGCCATACATGTGATGTCAGAACCATAGGGTTAAGACCAGCATGACCCCTGTAGCCTTTAGGTTGACTCCCTCACTTCACTTCTGACATGGGACTGAGGACTCCCATCACAAAGCTACTCAGAGCCCAGCTGGCCTGGTGTGCATGTATGTGAAGGAACAGGATGCTGTGGAGAGATTCGTCCAGTGAGTGGCCAGGCCCTGGCATTGCCTCTGGGGACCTGGGTCCATATTTTGCATAAGCCACAGTTTGCAGGCACAGGATTTGTAGAGGCATAGTAAGCACTGCCGACTGCCACTGATGTGTCAAAATCATGTAGTTCTCAAAGGAGTAAGGGAATTGTTTTAAAGGAAATCAATGCACATGCCCAAAGCTTGCCCATTAAGGGATATGGGTTGTTCCAATCACTTCCTCCAGGGCCTTTCTATATCCTGGAAGGCAACAAAATTATCATTATTTAAGGACTTAATTAGTCTTTATTGTAGTTAGCATACAATGTACTAGATAGGTCAAATGTGTGTTACAATAGAGCTGTGTTTTATACACTGTCCCATGAGCTTTACAGCACATCGGGGCCCTCATGTAATCAGTGTGCCCTGTACTTTAATGCCTGCTTTATAGCTCTTTCATAAGGCAGGCTGGATAGGGTGGTGATTGGAGCACTGTGGGCCAGGAGTTACCAGACCTGGTAAGAAGGGAGGCTTCCCTGCCCGCACTAACTCAGACACTGTGGTCCAGCTCCCTTACTGTCCACAACAACGAGAGGTAGGGCTGGGCAATGTCCAGGACCCTGGTCAGCCACAGCAGGGCGGGGGGGGCAGTCGGACCAGAATCTTCCACAGTTACAGGTGTTGAGCTTCTGCATCCCTCTATGACATATATTTTTTAAATCACATCTCTTGGTATATTTGATGCTAAGTTCTTAGGAATGCAACTCCTAGTTGTTACACTGGTTCTATTGCAGACTGCAATCTGCTTTACAACAGTGAACAGGAATGCCTTTTCAGGGGCAAGCTGGGGTTCCCTGCCTATAACACTTCCCAGGAAGTGAGTGGGGTGACCTTCATGTGGCCCCTGACATTCACTCCATCTTCTTGGTCCATGGCTCACTTCTGATCGGCCCTTTCTCTGCAGATTCTAAGGATAAGAGATTAAAGTTCCCTTGACAACTATCAATGACAGCAAGGGAGACGGCTGTGACAGCATCACACAGCTGGCGGGAGCCTGGAAACTGACAGCAACACACAGCGATTGACCCCAGGCTGCAGATTCCCACACCCCACACGAGGGTCTGGCTGTGAGCTTCCAGTCCAGCTCACAGTAGTAGCTAAACTCCACATGTAGCAGCAGCATCTCATGTGGACTGCTCCACCTCCCATCCAGCTCCCTGCTTGTGGCCTGGGAAAGCAGTCAAGGATGGCCCAAAGCCTTGGAACTCTGCACCTGTGTGGGAGACCGAAAGAGGCTCCTGGCTTTAGGTCAGCTCAGCTCCTGCCATTGTGGCCTTTTGAGGAGTGAACCAGCAGATGAAAGATTTCTCACTCTATTTTTTTTCCCCTCTATGTAACTCTGCCTTTCAAACAAACAAAAAATTTTAAAGAAGTCCATGGATGAAAGGGACTGTAGTTTTAGGATCCAGGCATCTTTTGGGTAGGAGTCAAGTGTAGGCTTAACTCAGGTTAGCCAGCATTCACTTAGCTCTCCATTCATAAACAGCTTGCACTGAGGCCCCAACAAAGGTGCTTCAAACAGTTTGTAGAATACAGAATTCAATAATAAGTTGGAGTGCAAGTAAATTTGAAATCGTCCCATAGGTTTTTTCATTGCATGTAATTCCCACCAACTTTCTGAAGACCTGTGTGTACACACACACACCCCACTGCTTTAGGGGCTGTAAGTTGCCATTTCAGAGAAGACCCACCGTTCACCAGGTGTTTTGTCTGAGGCCACTCACCAGTGGTCAGTGTGACACTTGGTAGTTTCGTGCCCCATCTCTGGTCCCACCCCGCTAAAGTAGAATGAGTTGCCCTTGCCCCAAAACTGAGTATCCCACCCCCCTTAAGGCAGGAGCTGTGCTTGAGTGTCCACCTGCCATGACCTCCTGCGGAGAGAGATGCATCTGACCTTCCCACTTCCGTCCCCCCCCAGGTCTGGGAAAGAGTTGGCCGACAGAGTGCAGTCTCCCGGGGGGCCCCCCCCGCCAAGCTGAGCACTTTGGAGTGCCTGCTCCAATACACTGTAGCAACAGGGCGTCTCCGAGGGCCTCCCGTCGTCACAAGGCGCTAAAAGAGGGAAAGGCGGAGCGGCCGACAGGTCTCAGCGTCCAGCACTGGGGACTGGCAGCCCTGCCCCCCCAGAGCGCTGGGCCCGCAGCCGCAGCGCCCTGCGGCGGGCGTCCGAGCGGCGGCGCGCAGCCGGCGAGTGGGAGGTGCAGGCCGGGGGTGGTATATCCTGTCTGGCGGAGGGCGGGTCTCGCCAGTGCCACCGAGGGACGAGCCGGGTTGGAGGCGCCAGGAGAAGCTGCCGGGAGCCTCACTCTATGGCCATAGGGAGCCGCTGAGAACCAGAAGAGCACGCTGCCATCGCCCGCTGCACCGCACGCCCTCCCTCGCTGCTCTGCCCGCCCGGCCGGCCCGCACCTCCCGCCACCATGAACCACTCACCGCTCAAGACCGCCCTGGCGTACGAATGCTTCCAGGACCAAGACAACTCCACGCTGGCCCTGCCGTCCGATCAGAAGATGAAGACGGGCACGTCGGGCCGGCAGCGAGTGCAGGAACAGGTGATGATGACGGTCAAGCGGCAGAAGTCCAAGTCTTCCCAGTCTTCCACTCTGAGCCACTCCAACCGAGGTAAACGCCTTGCGCCCGCGCGCTCCGAGCGTTTTTTAGTGCGCCTCGGCCGGGCTGTAGGAACCGAAGGGTCGGAGATCTGGGGGCTGCTCGCCGCGGGTAGCGTCTCCGCCGAGCGCCAGCAGCCTTTCCCCGGCGGCGGCGATTAGGGGGCGCGGCGGGACCTGGACCGCGCGCGCGCGGGAGATGGGGCGCTGCCGGTGGCTCGCCCGGGATCGCGTCGGGAGCTTCTCTCCAGTCAGCCAGGAAACTGAGGGTCTTGGCCTGAAACCTTGGATTCCTCCACTAGGCTTTCTTTTCGGATCCGGGGTGGGGGGCGATTGAAGGCGGAGCGCTGTGCACCACCCGATACCCCCGTTCTTCTGGATGTGCTCCTGAGTTCGCCACCGGCGGTGCCCGGAGCTCAAGCTAAGCGGGATTCCTGATCCTACCTGAACGTTGGCCAGGCAGGGTGAGGGGTCACCCAGCACTGAGTTAGGAGGTGAGTCCCAGGAGCGCGGATAAGTCCTGGGACTTCGCTGCACTTTAGCGGAGGGAAGGGGAGGGGAGGGTGCTGTGTAGCTGGTCATCTCCGGGAAGGGGCTCCGCAATAGCTGGTGCAGAACCCTGCTTGGTCTGACTCTCCCTGGCCTCCTTGGCCCCAGGAGAGCCCCTTCCTGGACATTGAGGTGGCTGGAGGTGGGCGATCCTCCAGGTCCAGGCTGGGCCCCAATGGCATTTTTCCCAACCAGAATGTCCACCTCTGTGAGTGACATGGTCTCCTTGGGGAGGGAGGCTGGGAGAAAAGGGTGGGAGCCCTGAAACTCAAGAAGCAAGGTGCAACCCCTGACGGGGGCATTTGTGGATGTTTAGACCAGACACTGTGAACTGTGACGCGAGGGGTTCTTGCTAAGAACTGCAGCAAACCCTCGACTTGTGTATTTGTGTATATATGCCAAATAGAGTAAAATGTTAACAGAGACTGTATCTATTAAAACTATGACAGGTCAGCCTCCATTTCAGGGAGCAAGGGGCAGTGAGCAGTAAGAGGAGGGGACAGAAGAGGCAGACCCCTGGCTGTCCACCCTCTCCCCCTCACACATACACACAGCCACACATGTGCCAGCTCACTCTGCCTGTGTTCTCACGCTGCCCTTGGGTACAGCTGAGGGGAGCAGAGGCAGATTTCCCACCCTTAGACGTAAGGGCCTGGGCTGCTGGGTGGCCCTTCCTCTGTCCCTGTCACGGCCCCTGGCTCCTCTGCTTTGTCTTCCTGCCTGGGGCCAGGAAGAACCAAGTGTCACACTTGTAGCCCCAGTGGAGGGCATGGCTGGATTGCACCTCTCTTTGAGAGAGGTGCTCGGTCCACTGCTGCTCTCCCCCATCCACAGTAGCCTGAACTCCTGGCTCCTGGCACCAGGACGGTGTCACATCTGCTGGGGCAGGGTTTGGGGACAGATGCTCCCTCTTTCGCCTGCCGGGGAGGATGCTAGCTGGACGTCCTGGGCTGGGCAGGACTGTTTGTGACCTTGGTCTTCGAGGGTAACATCCATCTGATGGGGCCTCGATGCCAGCCAGTGGACTCTGATGTCTGCCTGCCCTTCAGGACAGTGTCCGGGGGAACCTGTGGCTGTCGCTGTGCCTCCCCTCCCCTACCTGCCGTTTCTGGGGAGCTTCCCAAAGGGCGTCAGTTTCCCCAGCGGCACCCGAGCTGGAAGAGGCGGTTGGGTGGCTTGGAGCTGGTGTTTCTGGTTTCTCTGGCTTTGTTTCCATCAGATTTCTCTGACCTTCCCATCAGAAACGCCCAAGCCTTCCCTGCTTGCTCTGGGCCGACTCCATTCACTCTGCTCTCTCTTGCTCTCATTTCCTGCCAGCCAGCAGCCTGCAGGGTCTTACGGGGAAAGAATTGGCAGCTGGAGAAGGACAGTGCCCCACACCCTAACCCATGTCCCTTGGACCAGTTCAGACTCTCCTTTAGTCTCCTCCAAAAGCAAAAATTTGGCTTCTCTGGAGTTTTTGATTCCCCAAGGGGCCCCCTGAATCCAACCCAGGGCCCCCTTAGTTGTAAACCCTGGCTCCATACTGGTGGTTCAGGAGTGCCAGCACTTTCCCCTGACCCTGGCTGCCAGGGCTGGACTCTTGGAGGTCAGCAGCAGGGCCATGAGCCCCCTACTAGCTGGGAGGACCCCCTGTGGGAGGAGCCTGCCCATCTGAAATCCCCTGAGAAGGAAACAGGGCATCTTGGTATGCCCAGAGATCCTGTGGGAGGAGCCTGCTCTGGACATGCCCATGACCTTGAACGGGCCCAGCAGTGTCACTGCACTGTGCTGTTTTCAGGGTGTCTCTGTGTGAGCTGGGAATCTGGAGGACTTGGTTTCATAGACTGTGTAGGAAGCAAGAGGAAGCGAGGGGGACGTGGCCGCAGTCAGAGGTCATTGTGAGGGTCCCTTGGTCTCCCTGTGAGTGGGGAAAACCCTCCAGGAGTCCTGGGAAAGGGGGAGGGTGATACACCACCCACCCAGCCAGAAAGGTGATGCTTTCCCACCTTCCCGGTCTTCCTAAGCCTTGTTCACATCTGAGAATCTCTTCCCAAAAACCGAGTCCACGTCTTACTCAGCTCAGCCCCACATACCTCACCCACGCCATGAGCACACCACACATGCCCGGCTCCCAGGACAGCACTTAGTTCCTCCTAGGGTCCACCTCTTCCCAACATCTTAGCACCGCCAGTGCCCTGGGCGTGGCCTCTGACTCCCTGCCTCTGTCCAGCCTGGAGCTCCCTCCTCCTCCCTTCTTGGAATTACCTGTTCCCACCTAAACTTGTGAAGCCTCGACTTCCCTCTGGTCAGAAATGGGGACCTGGGGTGACACTGGGACAGGTGAGGCCCCTGTACTTGTTCACAGGCCCTCCTGAGAGCAGGCTGGCGCTGAGTCCCTGCCTTCGGTGGGGTTTTTTTGCCCTTGGGTCTGGCTGAGTCTCCAGGGATGCAGGTCTGAGCACAGGGTCTGCTCACTCTCCCTGCTCACAGGCCCTAAGCAGCCATGGGAACCCTGGGGTGCAATTCGCAGCTGCACAGCTGAGGTGGGAGCCACAGAAGGGGGCGTGTGTGCTTGGCTGCTCCCAGGAGCAAAACATACCAATTAGACTTGCGAGGAGTGCACCTCTGTTCCTTCACAACACATCTTGGCTGGAAATTGGGGCTCCGGCTGGAATTTCTGGAGGCCTGTTGTAACACATGCAAAACATGATGAGTATTCCAGGGGGTGTGCGGCAAACGCCGCTGCTCTGGGTCCGCCCCTTTGCTCAGTTGGCTGACAGAGACCTCATCAACACAGAGTCCTCTCCCCACATACCAGCTGGGATAGCTCAGTGACCTACGTTCTAGGCTTCAGAACCAGGGAGGTGCCCTTGCGATGGGGTGTGACCCCTACAACATCTGTGATGTTGGCACACAGGAAAAGGCAGGCTAGCCAAGCATGCAACATCCATGGACACTTGTGTCTATAGAACATGTGAACATTTACACACACATGCACACACATGTAGGTACACAAGTTTCACCTTGCAGCCTGTGCTGTCACAGGGCTCAGCCTGGCCTCCCTACCCTGCAGACTGTGACATTGAACAAGTCCCTGACTCCCTTGGGGTCTGTGTCTTTCAGAGGTGGACTGAAATCAGAGTTTTGAGGTAGCACTCTCTGGAGGCAAGCCCATTATTCCTTCCTCTGCAAACCATTCACCCAAGCTGCCTGCCGGTGTCCTGCAGACACCCTTGCCACCATGCCAGGTATCCCCTGGGGCAAAGCCCCGGGCAAACGTTCGAAACCACAACCAACAGCTCTGCTTCGTGGGTCTCAGGAATTACCTGGGAATGTCTAAAAGTGAGACTGCCTGGGCCCTGTGTGCAGAGATTGTGACTTAGTGTGGACACCCAGGACAGCTGGATTTTTGTAAACTCCCCACGAGACAAAGCTTGAATCCTTGCTCCATTGCCCGTCTGGCCTAGGGAATCACACTGCATACCTCTCTCATGTACACTTATGGATACTTAGTGCAGTAGTCAATAGTGACAGGTTTTTTTTCCTGAGTCCCAGCCAGATTAGCCAACCAACTCCCATTCCAGTCACTGTCCACTCTCACCCTGGCCCTGCCCCTGTGCCAGTCCTGTCCTGCCAGCAGCTCCTGCATTCCACCCAGTCCTCCGGTTCGGTGGCAGCCAGGCCCAGATCAGAGAGCATGGTGGAGTGGTGACGCCAAGCAGGCTGCCAAGAGAGAGGCGCCACCGTGTGCTCGAACGTCCAGGCAACTCTGTTGTATTCATATATGCAGCAGAGGGCCAGGAACTACCCAGTGCTGGGAGGTTGTACTGAACTCCTTGCCGTGCCCACCCTGTGCATATATACACGATGCTCCCCAGGGCCACACACACAATCTGATTTGTCCCTCACACACAGCCCAGCACTCTTGGATATCTGTCCGGGTGTTGCCTCAGGAGAGTCTCCTGTATCACACCAAAGTTCTCAACCCAGCCCTGGGCACCAGAGGTAGGAGCAAAGGTATTTTAAATGGAGAGAGACTGGCTGTTTCTCTCTTGGCACTGGTGGGCTTGGTCCAAGTATAACCACAGCTTGAAGAGGTGTCAGCCTTGCAGGAGGCAGACTCGGCAAGTTGGTAGGGGGACCCAGAGTTGGCTCAGCTATGTATTCTCCAACCAGTAAGGGAGAGAAAGTGGAAGGGAAGGGCCATGAGAAGTGTGGGGTTCCTATGTATGTCAGGGGAGCTCTCTTCCTGTGCTGGGAAGAAGATGGAGTGTGATCCAGTGGAGGCAGATGACCCCTGGTTTCAGATAGCTCCAGCTTGATCGGGAACCCCAGCCCCTGCTCTTGGGGAGCATACACACACAGCGTGCGGCAGCCACACCCCACGGAGAACCCACAGTGCAGAGTGCTGATGTGGTGGTGGTGCAGGGTGTGGGTTGCTCCCATCTGGGTGGGGCCGAATTGAGGAGAAGCAGGTCTCTGTGCTAGGCTGTGACTGCAAGGAGTGGGATGAGCTAAGCCCAGGAGAAAGAATGCTTCAGGTGTGGTGGGTGTGGCGGGCTTGAAACCGTGGAGGTGGGGGATGGGTCACCTCATGAAGCTTTGTGTGCCCCACACCATGTTGAGAATTCCACAGCCCTGGGAGCAGGAACTGCCTTTGTTTTCAGAGATTCTGTGAGCATAGCACCAGGTAGGGAGAGGGACACCCTGGGACACAGAAAAGAATCAGCCTGTCGTTGTCTGGGGCACCAAGGGGGAAGCATCTTGTGGGATTGATGCCCACCCTGGGACAGGGTTCCAGGGACTAAGAAACACTGGCAGAAAACAAGAACAGCTTGTATATGAGGGGAAGTAGCAGTCATTTGCCCTTGGACTTTGGCATTCAGCAGGTGGGCAAATGCCTCCAGAGAATGACGCCCAAGTTAGGCAGACAGCCAGCTTGATGGAGAAGCAGCCACTTTTGTGTTGTGGGTAGAGGCCTGTCTGGTGAAGACAGCTGGGAGGCCAGTGACAGGTCTCCAGGTTGAGCTGGAATCACCCCCGTTCCCACCCGTGGACCTAAGGACCCTCCCCAGGGAGGGAGCCTTGGTATCTGAAACTACATACAGCCCTCCCTTGACCCAGTTACTCCGCCCACCAGGGACCTCTGTGGCTGGAAGAAGGCCTGGCTGAGTGGACTTCAAGAACATTGGTCCCATCTGGCATAAAGTAGAGTCGCTGAGTCAGAGCTCCTGGGCAGGGGAGAAGAGCTGATGCATCAGCTGGGCAATGCCCCGTGCTCAGGAACCCAGGATGTGGGACTTGCTAAGGGAAGTGCATGGTGGCTGAGCCTGGAAGGGTGTGAGAGGAGATGGGACCAGGTGCTGTTCATCAAGCGAGGCTTTCCAGAAGTGAGTATTAGAGGCATCTAGAGGCCAGATGGCCACATGCGGACTCTGCATAGCCCTTGTTCTTGCAGTTGGACTTGATTTTTAGAGGATACCTGCTCCCTAGCCAGGTACTACAGCATGGGGAAAGGGGAAATGGCTTCTGATTTGGCAACAGTCCTCTTACTGACACGGTTCACCTGCCACCTGCACGCCTGCCAGGGAGGTGTAATGTCTACCCCCCATCGCCAGCTGCTATGTTGGTAGCCTTCCTCTCACAGAGAGCCAGGCAGGCTCCCACACACAGGACTCCAGGGGGTGCCTCTGCGGGCTGCTTGGAAGTGAGGCGTGAGAGCTGCAACAGAGTCATGGTTGGGACCTGGGTGCCCACCCTTCGTTCTCGGCAGAGTCCCTCACATTCTGGTGGCGAAGGTAGGTGCCAGCAGGAGTCAGCAGGTGCAGTGTGTGGCGGGGGAGCCTCTCCCTGTGATGGCATGGAACAGGAGTGATGTTACAGCCATGCCCGAGGATTCCCGCTCACAACCTCACATGGCTCCTGGGAGCTCCCATCTGTCACCGCCCTGGATTTTCCATCCGGAAGCTGCTGGCTGACCCACACCTGCCCTTGAGTGAGAAATACCCGTTCCTGAGGCAGGGGCCAAGTGAATGCTGGCCTGCCAAGCTCTGGAAGGGAAGGTGGAAGTGGGCTGGCTGGAGGGTAGGCGCACAAGCCCTGGCTGCTAGCCACTCAGGGTCCTGGTTGTGTGTGTGCCTGGTTGCAACCCCCTCCCAAACGCCTCCTGAGAAAACAAAAAGGCAGCAGCTGCTGCAGCCAGAGCAGAGAACAAGGTGGGTTCACTCTAGGGGGCCAAGGGGGCTGGGCGGTTCCTACAGGTGTCAGGCTAAAGAAGCTTCTGGGAGGGTCTTGGAACAGGCAGCAAAGGAGGGCGATGTGACCCTTGACATCTGCCCTTCCTTCTTGGAAGCCTAGCCCTGTCGTGGGAGAAGTTGGGCCGCTCTGAATGCCATCTAGGGCATAGAAAAGCCTGTGCCTGCCAAGACCAGGCTCCTCTTATTCCACAACAGGGAGCGCAGGTCCAGAAACGGCAAGCAGCTTGCCCTGGTGCCACAGCTAGGGTCGATTTCAGCACCTTCATGTGCCTGCCCCAGCTTGATAGCTCTGATGTCCATTTATTCTGCCTGGGAGAAAAGGCATCAAGGGCAGTGCCTTCTGGCTGGGGGTGGGAGGGGGGACTAGGGAAGTGTGGCTGGTACTGGGCAGAGTGGATGGCCCCAGCACCGAGCCTTGCAAGCCTCAAGGGGGTGTGGCAAGGAGGAAGGGCCAACTTAACTAAGTGAGCTCACCATGAAACCCTCTGCCCTCAGTCAGGCTTTCTGATGGGGATAAGGTAGGGAGCTGTTTTAGCCATTACTCTAGAAAAAAAATGCATACCTCTCAGACTTTCGCTGGACCCCACTAGTTTTCCTTGCCCAAGGGTCACACTGGACAGGAGAAGGGGAGCAAGCCTTGCCCCCTGGGCAGTGTGCAACAGGGAACAGCCAGCAAGACAGCAGCATGTTCAGAAGCAGAACTGGTCAGAAAAAAAACTTCCTGGGGGGATGAAGATGTGAGCGTGGCTTTGAAAGATGAGCAAGATTTGCTGATTGTGGCTGAGATGACGAGATAGGTTCAGCAAGGGACGTGACAGAGCCAAATGGTGAGCGTGTCCCTATGGACCATGTGCAGGCACAGCAGGACGGGGGACGGACCAGCTTGTGTGGAGCTGTGGCTGCCCCAAAGGGCCCCCTCCATCCAGTGAACAGGAAAGGAGAGGCAGGCTTCCCTTTCCCCACTGTCCTCCCATACCGCCCCCTCCACCATGAGCCCTAAACCCAGTTCTACTTTCTGTAATTCAAAGCCACTTTATGCCTAATGACACTGCTTGGAGCCTGTCATTTGAGGGTGTCCACGCATTCTGAAAACATTCATTAACCCTCACTGGGCCTTGGAGGCTGGGCAAGAAGGAAGGGGCGGATGGCCCTGGTCAGTGGCAGGGGCTGGGCTTCCATCCACATCCAGAGCCCAGACAGGAATCGGACTGGAGTCGGCCATGGCCACGTTAGGAGATCTGAGTGCTGCACCTGGAATATCAAGATCCTGCCTGCCTTCGCTGGGTGGGGAGCTAATCCTCGTGGAGCGTGGAGTGGTGATTCCCTGGACTGGAATGGCAGTGCTCCAAGTCCCAACGAGCCACCTGCTGCCCTGTAGGTGTCCACCCACCTCAGGACAGATCCCTACCCGAAGTCGTCAGCAGTGGCCCAGCCTGAGGAGGCCAAGGAGAGAGGAGCTAGTGAGGGCAGTGAGCCACCTGCTCTCCACGGTCCCCACCCAGGGGCTCACAGCCACCCTCCTCCATGGGCTTGGTGGTGCCCTGGGGAGGAGGGCAGGGTGAAGATCATGTTTATTCCCCAACCTAACCCCGTGCCTCTGTCCTCAAGGTTCCATGTACGATGGCCTGGCCGACAATTACAACAACTACGGGACCGCCAGCCGGAGCAGCTACTTCTCCAAGTTCCAGGCAGGAAACGGCTCATGGGGATACCCGGTGAGAAATTGCTTCCATTCAGAGAGAACTGGAATGTCGGGGAGAAGGGGGCAGGTGTAGGGTTTCTGATTGCTAAGAAGAGCGATGCAGGTTGTGGTCCCTGAATTGAGGCCCACTGCTGCTGATGAAGGCGGTTAGCCTGGACATCAATCTGGGGGGTGCTGCTCATGTGGCCTCACATTTGAGTTGGTTGGGTGTTTCTGAATGTCTCAAGTGACAGCATTTTTTTTTTTGAAGTGCATTTTCTAATATGTCTTGATTCAATTATGGACTTGAGAGGGTTTGGAATACTTTGGACCCATATGTGGTCAGCATGAAGGGTCTTCTGTCTGCAGTGTGTGCCTGTGGCCAAGGGGGAGCTCTAGAGACCCCTGAGAGCAGGTGGACAGGTCTACTGCCGTGGCTCCTGTGTGACAGGCTGTGTGTGGAATCTGAAGTAGGTTTAGACCTTAACTCTGTTAGTCCCCAAGATTTTAGGCAAGTCACTTCCACCCTGGGCCCTCTCTTCCTTATAACAAAGTCTGTTTTATTGAGTTATTATCAGGCTCAGAGGGATTGATGGGCATGGAAAAAAAAACGATTACAATCAGTCTAAAGACTATTTTTAAGAAGTAGAGATTGTTCTAGATCCCTGATTCCTGGTTCATCTTTCTATATGATCCCAGTCCACTTAGCCAACAGGTGGTCACAGAGCCCTAACACTGTGCCAGCAGTGAGTGCCTCTTGGGACTCTGTGACCACATCGTTTTCTTCTGAAGTCAGAGCTAAGGGGTTAGGTGGCACCCAGAGTCCAGTGATTGGGGTGAGCCACTCTGCTCTTCAGCACAGTGCTGAGCAGTGAAGGTCTCAGGGTCCCAGGCAAGGTACAAGGTGGGTATTCTGGGTCATCAGCTTAATCACGTCTTTCCTAAGTTCCTGGAGATTGCTTTGGAGGTCACATCGTTTCTGCACATCACAGCTTGAGGACTGAAGGGAAGAATGAGCTGGGGTTGCTGGCCCGACTCCTAATGCAAGGTTCGCGCCGCGTTTGACATGCACATCTGGCTGAGCCCCACAAGCTGACAGAGCAGGTGTGAAGCGGGTTTGACACAAAGGTTGAGGTGCAGAGCAAGGTCTTAGTGATGCAGGGCAAACTCAGGACAGTGGAGCACTGGGCAGCAGGCAGAGTGGGGACTCACGCTGACCCCATAGCCATTCCCAGAGCTTGGGGGTCCCTAGAGGTCTGTGATTTCATATGAACCTTCTAGCCTCTCTGGGCATCAGTGATTCCTTCTGCGAAATGGGAATGACATTATTTGTAAGAAAGGAGCTTTCGGCCACCCTGTGCCAGGTCTTGCATCTTCCGCCCCCGGTGAGGTCACCGGGCCCTCTGCCTTCCGTAGCAGCCGCTGAGACTCGCTCTCCTCGCCTCACCCCAGGGCCCTCTGGTTGGCAGCGCTGTAGACGTGACTCATGGCGGGGCAGCTGCCGAGGCAAGTCCCGGCTCCTCTCGGTTCAGGAGAGGCGATGGGAACCCGGTGAGGGCTGAGCACACAGGGGATTCACAGAGGGAGGACACCAAGGCAGCAGGAAGATCCCGGAGCTGGGAGCTGAGCCCAGCTTGGCAAAGTCCGCCCCGGTCCCAGGCTAGGGAGCAGGGGGGCTGCTCTCCTGCTCCAGGCCTGGGGGATTGTTCTGTTTGTGAGACACCTGGTATGGAACGGCCTCATTTCCTGAGGAGGCAGAGATAGCCACAGAGGGCATGGCCGTGTGTGAAGTGACATTTCATGTTCTCCAAGAGCGTTCTCTGTGCACCCTGCCCACTGTTGTGTGTTGGCGATCACTATGACACCGTGTGGCAGGGACAGTGTTGAAAGTGAACTTGCAGTTGAGCTTGGGACCGCTCAGAGGGCAGCCTAAGGATGGAGAGGGGGGCGGTCTCTGCTTCCCCGTCATTGCACTCCTTCAGCTGCCCCTGAAAATGTTCCCATGTAGTGTTAGGGGCCAAGGTGAAAAGCCAGTTTTCCTGCATTGTCATGGTGACTTTTGGTTGGACCAGGGCCAGATTGACCCACTCTAGTTTCTCCTATGTGGTTGGTAGGTAGGGGACCAGGTACTTGGGCTGTGATTTACTGCTCTCAGGGTATGCATTACTTGGAAGCTGGGATGAAAGCAGATGTTGAACTCCATCGGGGATTCAAGTGTCCTCACAGTGGCTCCACCCACTGGCACCATGATGCCTGCCCCCTGTAGTTATATCGATGTCATAGTAGCCTTTAATTTTTAAAGCTCTATTTATTTTTATTGGAAAGTCAGGTATACAGAGAAGAGGAAAGACAGAGAGGAAGCTCTTCCATCCACTGATTCACTCCCCAAATGGCCGCAATGGCTGGAGCTGAGCCGATCTGAAGCCAGGAGCCAGAAGCCTGTTCTGGGTTTCCCACGTGGTTGCAGGAACCCAAGGCTTCAGGCCGTCCTTGACTGCTCTCTTAGGCCACAAGCAGGGAGAGGTATGGAAAGTGGGGCTGCTGGGATTAGAACCGGCACCCCTATGGATCCCGGCACATATAAGGTGAGGATTTTAGCTGCTAGACTACCATGCTGAGCCCCACAGTAGCCTTTTAATTAAAAAAATAATAACATCATACTGTTTATGATCTATAGTCACAAATAAAGAAAACGAAGATAGCAAATCCTGTAATAAAACGTGGTACAAAGTTAATCTGACACACAGAATTCATCAAATGCTTTAAGGAAAAGACAGCTCCTAAGAAAGCTCGCGTTCAGGTCAGTTCTGTACTCCCTACCAGCTGTTTGCAGGCAAGGGGCTGAAGGTGGAGCACTGGGCACCTTGCAGCCCCACTGTGTGGCCCGACAGTCAGGCAGATCGAACTCTGCTGTCACCAGCCAGAAGCAGACTGGGGCAGTAGGGCCCCAGCAGGGTCTACCTTCTACGGCTGAGGAATCTCAGGCCCAGAGAACACAAGTGACTCACTGAGGCTGCACAGCTGACTCATCATGGAGTGGCCCTGACCTCCTAACCCCTAACCTCCTCCTGTTTTTTTCCATTGCCCCAGACGTCTGCACTCTGAATGATGGTCATTTCCTAACAGGCTTTCTGCTGTTGCAAGAGCTCTCTTCTTTTACTTTCCAATGGTCCGCAGTGCCCACAGCTGGGCCAAGGCCACCACCAGGATCTGGGAACTCAATCCAGCTCTCCCAGGTGGGAGACAGGGACTCAACTGCTGGAGTGGTCACCTGTTGCCTCCCAAGGTGCATGTTGCTGGTTAGCTGGAGTCAGGAGGCTGAGCTGAGACTTGAACTCAGGTACTCCCACACAAGCACCTGCTCCAGTGACAGCCGTTTGACGTATTTCTTCAGTCTTCATATTTTAACACTGCAGTCATGTTTCCAGGGTCATGCAGGAGTCCCATGAATCCATATCCCACTCTTTCCTCCAACTATAACCCACTGTTCCCCTCCCCTTGGAGTGGCAGCAGCCCCAACACAAGTGAGCAGTTGCAGTTCCTCTTCCTAGATCCAACCAGGATTGTTTGGCTGTAGGTATTACTGGGAGCATCTAACAAAAGGTCACAAAATGTACTGCTTGGGAATACTTCCTAAAAGTCATTTCTTGTTGATCTGAAATTCAAATATAGCTACCTGTCCTTATATATATATATATATATATATATATATATATATATACATATGGGCAGGTGGAGAATCTGGGACCCTTGTTTGCTGAGTTATTTAACCTTTTTCTCTTGGTCAACTGAGACTAGACAGTGGGAACAGAGAACTACAGCCACTGGGAGGCAGAGGCTGTCTGTTGCAAGCTGGAAATGGGCTTGTGTGCCTTGAAGCTGAGACTAGTGGACAAGGGAACACCTCTGACATCGGGTGACAATCTCCCTTTCTATCTGTGTTGGCTCTCAAGGGGCTTTTTGCTTCCAAATCGAGCAGCTCCTCCTGAACATGCTTTGATCAGGGGCTGGACTGTAGGGAAGAGAATCTCCGTGGGCACAGTCAGCCAGCAGGTCTGGAGCAGGCCATTTCTGGTAATGGCCATACTCAGCCTGGTGCTGGTAGAGCACTCCATCTCCCGCCCTCCAGGCTCGGTAGCCATGTCTGTCTGTGTATCCACAGGAGCCAAGGGACAGGTACTTTGAGGGGCTGCCAAGAGAGAGGAAAGAGACCATGCTTGCCACTGCACAGGCGATGGAGGTTGTGCCCAGAGAGAACCTGGTATGGGAGGACAAATCTAGACTTTGCTCAGCAACTTGAAGTCCACATTCCATTCATGATCTTTGACTCTGCGACCGTAGGCAAGTTCTGAAGCCAGCTGAGCCTCAGCTCTCCCATCTCAAAAATGGGTTAAAGCTCCCCCGCTTTAAAAGACAGCATGAGGGTGGTGGGAGAGACACATTATGTCAGCAGTGGGAGATCTGGATTCTAGTCTCAGTAGGGCTTGGGGATCCAAGATGGGGTGGTGGTCAGCCAAAGCCTGCCAGTGACTGTTCCCTAAGTCCAGAATCCCTGTCTCAGGCCCCACAGATGGGTCAATGTCTCAGCCTTTGCTCTCTGCTTCCACCCCAGCATCTCCAGGCACCAGGAACCTGTAGCTTGTTAGCCCCTGCAGCAGCATGGAGAGGTAGTAGAATGTCCTACCTTTCCCAAGGAGAAACTGAGGCAGAGCAAGTCATTTTGCTCAGAAACCACTGTGAGTTAACCCCAACCTTGTGCCTCAGCCCTGGGAGCTGCAGTCCAGGTCCCTCTGAGCCAAGTCCCTTGGACAGCTGCCTGCTGGGCCTCAGTCTTCTAAAATGTCCAGAAGGAAACAAGAGAGTAGGCTGTGGACTTGGGCTCCACGAGGGAGCAATGGTGCATGTGTACCAAACAGGGTGCAGCTGCCAGCCGCTGACTCATGACGATGAGCCCTGGCAGATAGCAGGGTCCCACTGGGGCCCCAGGCTGTCACCCAACAAGAAGAGGCAATGAGCCTGCCTGCCAAGAGACAG